ATTTCTAACAAAGTCACTAAAATAAAGCGATGAGTTAATTGCCTTTACAAATACATCAGTATTTGTAAGTATTGCCTTTTCACATACATCAGTATGTGAAAAAATAAAGCAAAAAATTTGAAGAAAAGTAATTAAAATATTAAAAGGAGAGTACTTTTACAATAGTATCAGGAATTAAAAAGTAACTATTCATAAATCTGAAAGATGTTGGAAGCCTTTACAGAAAAATTATAACACACATCTAGGTACAGAAGTAATTAATTTTTAAAGAAGGGGAGCTAGTGACACATATGATCTTAGAAAAACTTAATATTTTAATTATTCTATCTATCTACAAATTGTTAGATTCAGTACAACTTTAATAAAATTCTTAGCAGATTATTCTAAATTTTGAAATTATAATATTTATGGGAAAGTAGGGCTATGTAAAGAGGTAATATTTTGCTACTATTCTGATTAAAAAATGAAATCTATTTTCCTTCCCCTTGTATTTTGATGGCCTGTGACTGCGTCGATCAATGGATTATGGCTGAAGTGATGCTAGGCTTGCATAGACATAGCCTTTGAGAAGACTTTTGCCTTGGTTCCCTAGAGTTTTGAATCCCATGATAGAAGCTTGAGTATTCTAAGACTGCCAAGCTGTGAAAAAGGGAAAACTAAGCTCTTAGTGAGGCAATGGAAAAATGAGAAAGAGAAAGAGACTAAGAGACTAAAAGACATATAGCCAGATAGATGGAAATTGAGATGATTTCTCCATCTAAATTAATTTCACTAAACTAATTACACTAAAATTAGTGAAAATATTAATGTTGATTTATTTAAAATTAAAATGCATGTGAACCAATAAAAATGTGTTATAAACATTATGCAATGTTTCTGTAAACTTAAATTTTATGGGAACAAAATTCCTGTAATCAAGATGTTGGTTAGGATTTTTTAGTTTTAGATAATAAATTAAGTCCTATGTTTAGTCAATCTTTAAATGTTGTATTCATAAATGTCTATGTATATGCCATTTCTTATTCCTTCCAGATGCACCGAGTAAACAATCTCTTCACTGTTATTTCCACACTTTCAATTTATAGGCTGATACTTAACTATCTAATAAACAAAAGTAGTATGTTAGGCAAAATGTTCAGTTATCAAACTTTTTTTCATGGTGTATATATTCAAGAATATTTTTAACCATCTATTATCTTTAATATGTTGTGCTTCTGAATGGTCTACCAGGAACTGTACCTCTGTCTTTAAAAGGTTAACAAACATCAGCCCATCAGTCCACAAATTGAAAGATGTCACCTGTAAGAGTCACATATTTACCCAAGCTGAAGCCTAGATTTCATTCCAACTTCCTCCATCTCCTTCAGTTGCTATAGCCAATCAATCAGCAGGTCTGAACAATTTGCAAACTAAATGTTTCTCTAGTATGTATCTTAATGTCATTAACACTTTTCCTTCCCAAACTTGGCCCCAGAATTGATCATAAGCTTTTTGTCACATGCCTATTACATCTTATGTTATGTTCAAATCATAGGGAACATATTGCAGTCAACAAACATGAGTTTTTATTCTATGGCTTTCCTCATATTCAATTCCCCTACTTCTTTTTCAACTAATATTACCTACTCTTTCCACCCACCAAGTGATAAAGCCCTTCTAGAATCTACCTGACCACAAAGTACAAACCTCAGTTGTAATACTTCTCATTGTAAGGACTGTATCTGCTGAAGATCTATCTCCATTAGACTTTATTGCAGGAATATCACAATAAAACAAGGATAGTAAGGATAATATCAGAGTCATTTGGGATACAATGAAATACAGTAGTGATTTAGTATAAACTCAAATTTGATGTGATCTCATTAAATATTTAACTAAGCTAACAATATTAGGTGTTCATTAGCAGGGACCCCTGCCCAGCCTACTGTGGTGGAAGAGAGTCTCTCTGCCCTTCACAAACCAATGCCTGGTTCCTGCAATCCCAGAGAAAGAGGAGCAGTAGGAGACCCTGCAATTCTAGAAACAGAAGGTAACGGCTGCTGCCTCACTTACACTGATGCCCTTCTGCCCCTCACCCACCCAGGACCAACAGGCAGGACCAAGCTAAGCTGCTCAGATTGAGCTCAGCAAGGATCCCCAATCGCCTTGTTGTGAAGGAAGGGCTCTCCCATCCAAGCACCACCCAAAGTGGTCTACCACCTTATATTCTATCTGTCAGCTTGTTTCCATCCATGTTGGGAGCAGTTAGGTTGAGGTATACAAGAATCAAACACCCAAAAATAGGAGATCTGGAGGAATTCTTTCCCATAACTCCTTTAGCAGTATAAGAAACTATCCTCTGAAAGCACAAATCCAAAGCTCCTACTGTGAATTCCACACTCTCACCTACAGTAAAGGAGAGAAATTAGATCAGCACTTACACGCATCTTAGAGATGTACAGGAGCACACAGCTACAAAAACATACTCCCAAAGAAGTGAGATTACCACCAGATGACTAAAAGTCAAAGCAGAGCCTTAAGAAATAAGAGAAAAATCAGGAAAAATCCTCCCCTCAAAAGAACATAACATCTCACCAACAATGGACAAAACACAAGAGATCACAGAAATGTCAGAAAAGGAATTCAGAATATTCATGGAGACAAAACAATGAGATGCAAAAGAAAACAGATAAACAATTCTAGGAGATGAGAAAATCCTTCCATTACTTAAAGGAAGAACCACATAAAGTGATAGCTATACTAAAATGAATATAATAGAATTTCTGGAGATAAAAAATACTATGCAGGAAATCAAAAACCTCTCTGGAAAGTATCAACAGATTAGAGCACACAGAAGGAAAAAAAGTCTCTTACCTTGAAGACAAGACCTCTTATTTAGTCCAAGCAACCAAAATGAATAGAAGAATAACCATTAGAAATGAGAAAAATATACGGGAAACACTACACACCATGAATGTCCAAATATCTGCATAATAGGCATTCCAGAAGGTGAAGAAACAGGTAAAAGCATGTAAAAAAAATCTTCCATAATATCTTAGCTGACTAAATTTGAAAAGTTTTCAGCTAATTTGGTGAGGTAGGAAGACATTCAAATCCAGGAGATAAAAAGGACAGGAAATAGATATACCATAAAGAGATCTTCTCCAAGGCATATCATAGCTAAATTAATAAAAATCAAAGACAAAGATAATATTCTAAAAATGGCAAGAGAAAAATTCCAAGTTACTTACAAATCCCATTAGACTAACCTCAGATCTCTCAACTGAAACAAGGCATGCAAAGAAAGAATTGAAAGACATATTTGAAACCCAGAAAGAAAAGCAATCTCAGCCAATTGTACTATACCCAGCACATGTGCTGAGAGACATTCATTCTTATTCTAAAGCTATATTCCCAACCAAACTACCATTAAAGAACAGAGATAAATAAATACACTCTCATAAAAATAAAAATAAAAGCAAGTACAGGTGCCCTCTTGCAACTAAAAAATATATATGCAGGGGCCAGGAGGTAGCTGGTGATTATGGCACTGGACTCCCACATGGTTGACCATGGTTTGAGTCCTGGACCTGGTGGTTTACTTACTTCCTTTCTCTCTCTCTCCCTGTCTCTCTTTGTCTCTCTCTGGTGAGTGTACGTGCCCTGCAGCAAATTAAAAAAAATAATGATAATAAATAAAATTAAGCACTTATTTAAAACACACACACACACACACACACACACACACACACACACACACCAGCTGGTGATGTGGCAGTTAAGGAGGTAGGATCTCCCATAGCTGACTGCATGGTTCAAGTACCAGACCCGGAGGCTTGAAAAACATGTTGGGCACATATGTGTACATGCCCAAAATCCTGAGAGGAGAATAGAAGAGAGGGGATTGCAGCATGACGATCCCTCCTACAGGATGCTTTCTCACTTTCTCTTTCACTTTGGTAAGCACATGTGCCTTATAGAAAATTTAAAAAGAGAGAAAAATATATATATACATAATCACACATAACATGTGCACACAATCCAGTATTCTAAAATCATTAAGTAATGTCTTACTATTTAACACCATGAATGTATTAAATGTTCATGTTATGCTATGCAAAAATTCAGGTTCCCAAATATTTTGTACAGTAAGACTAATTTTCCTCCATTCCTTTCCTCTTCCTTTATCAGTGCTAAAACAAGAGATGAAAATAGATGGTTAAAATGTGGACAGAGGTCATTTCTTGATGCTGGACTTTTGGATAATCAACTTTTTCTCTTCAATATATATTTTTGATATTATGATCACAAAATGCATTATTGTATTTTTTTATAACCACAATATTCCTAAAGTAGAACTTCCAGTGTACCTCAAATTTTCTTCATAAGCTGTATGGTTTGGTTGAGGTTGTTGAGAGAATTTGCATTTGTACATTTATTTAGTTTTATGTGCATATCCATATACGCATACATTCGTAACATCATATGAGTTTTATCAGGAGCTCAAAGTAGTTAATATTATCATCATCCCCTTCTTCTGCACACAGAGATTGACAGAGAGATTTACAGTATCTTGACTCGTAAAACTTTACCTGGTGACTGGTTTTTTAGATTCTGTGTTGTCTATGCCAATTTCTCAAAGTCTGTGCAAAATATTGATACATTTTCTAAACGTGTTGTTCAGCTTACATAAGGATACTGGATGGCAATAGCGATGGTTTTGTTTAGTGACCGTGTCTCAGTGAATACATTCCTACCACCCTAGGAGCACACAGCGAGCAGATGTCCAGATGTGAGTCCTTAAAGAGCTGTAACCACAGATGTAAACACCTCTCATAAATAAGGAACATTCTCATGATCTTGATATTGTGATTTTCTGGACATTTCTCAACACTATTAAGAAATCAGTAAGATTTGTTCATCTCACAGGGAAGTTTTAAGGTTTTTAGGTTTTTTTTTTTTTTTTTTTTTTTAATTTCTACAGAGAAGTAGGGGAAGATAAAACTGGACAGTTGGGGAGACTGCTCATTCTTGCTTTGTGGAACTTCTCAGAGACCTGCAGCAGCCAGCATGCTCTGGGTCCTGCTTTCCATACTCGGGCTCACCACTCAGATTCAAGGTAAACACTAATATTTTGGCTCTTCATATAAATGTCAAATTATTTGATATATGGCACCTAATTGATTTATGGTGCCCTTGAGAAAATAGCATATGCCCCCATAATTCAAAGATTATACCATTTGTATTTTGGTATATTTTCTACCTCTCTAGCTCTACAAAGGTAACATATACATATATATACACACACACACACATGCATATATACATACATGTGTGTACATACATACACATATGAGGGGACTTCCAAAATTAGCAAGAAAATGGAACTAAAGTATTCATTTATACGTTTGCTGCAAAGAATCTTGGAATCTGCATAGATGTCTCATAATATGCATATTCCATAAGCATTTTGAAGGCCCCCTCATATGTATGAAGCTGTTATATACTATCTATATGTGTGCATATATCTTCCTTTTAGAAGAAAGCTCATTAATTTTAAAAAGTTTTTAATTTTTCAATTTTAATGACATATTGACAAATTATATAATGGTATCTATTTTGGGGGTACAAAGCAGTATTAGTGATTGTTCAATGTGAAAAATTAAATTAGGCTAATTAGCACAAAAAAGAATATCAAATATTTAACATTTTTTGTGAAAAGAATACCATAATTTACCCTCTTTGCAATATTGAAATGTACAGAATTTAATTATTAGCTATTCTTGCATACTGTGCAACTGATCGTCAATTATAAGATTTATTCCTCCTCTCTAAGGCTTTGTACACTTCATCCTGCTTCTCCTACTTGTCCCATTCCCAGTCATCTCTGCCTCTATGAGCTCAATTGTTTTAGATTCCAGAAACAAGTGAGAAGATGAAGTATTTGTCTCTCTGGTTTTGGTTTATTTTATTCAGCATGCTGTCCTCTAATTCCATCTCTTTGCATCTTCCATTATTAACCTTCTTTTTCACACCACTGCAGCTAGATGCCTTGTGGTTTCTTAAATGGACTATCCATTTAGGATCCCATATTAGGACTTTCTTACTGGATGTTTCATCTGTCTGATACTCTATGTTCCCAAATACCCACGTCATTCATTCTCTCATCTTTATGAAGTCTCTGCTCACATGTAACCTTCTCAATTAAATTGTCCCAACTTCTCAGTTTAAAATTCCAACATTCATCTCTATCCCAGCATCTGAAATCCCCTTTATTCCAATATACTGATGCTCTTTGATTTCCAATGGAGTTGCATCCCAATAAATCCGACATATATTGAAAACATTGTAAGTCAAGAATGAGTAATATGTGTAACTTACTGAACACCGTAGCTTAGCTTAACCTATCTTAAGTATGCTCAGAATAGTTACATTAGGGGACCAGGAGATGGCATAGTGGTTACATTGCTGGACTCCCACATAGTCAACCACAGTTCAAGTCTCAGACCCGGCGAGTTAAAACTGACACTGGGCATGTGTGCCTGTATACCCAGAACCCCAAGAGGAAAATGAAGGAAAGGGATTGCAGGGTGGCCATCTCCTCTGAGGGGTGATTTCTTACTTTCTGACTCTCTGTCTCTCTGATGAGCTCACATGCCCTATAGCACAAATATCTCTTAAAAAAAAAAAAGTAGTTACATTAGCCGATAGTTGGGCAAAAATCACCTAACATAAAGCCTAGTTTATAACAAAGTTGAATATCTCATGAAATTTATTGAACACTGTACTATATGTAAAAAACAGAAAAGGGGACCAGCAGTTAGTGTAATGGCTATGTCACTGGACTGCCACGTGATGGTTCGCATCCCGGACCCGGTGGCTTAAAACTCATGCCAGGCACGTGTGCGTGCATGCCCAAGATCCCGAGAGGAGAATGGAGGAGAAGGGCTTGTGGAGTGGCCATCACCCCTCGGGGGTGATTTCTCGCTTTCTGTCCCTCTGTCTGGCAAGCGCATATGCCCTATAGCAAAAACCTCTCCAGAAAAAAACAAAAATCAAAAAACAAAAACAAAACAGAATGACTGTATGGGTTCTCAAAGTAAGGTTCTACTGAATATGTATGGCTTTTGTGACATTGTAAAGTTGAAAACGTATAAGTTGAACCAGTATAAATCAGGAACCATCTATATTCCATTACCATAATGCTTGCCATTTTCCAACCTGTAGATAATTATAACACATATACTGTGTAGTTTTACATATATCTAATATGTAATTTTTCCCCAAATAGAATATAAATTCCACAAAGGCAGGAATCATTGTCTATTAGTTGATTTATTCTGATAGTCTCAAACTGTGTCTGGCATAAGGTTAGCATTCAATATATAGTTATTGAATGGATATTTGAGTTTCCATATAAAAGAAATGGCAGAGATGGAAAGTTGCTTACTATCTAAAAAAAAAGTATTTTTATTTTATGCTCTAACTAAAAATAATCAGTGATCTTAGATATTATAATTAAAATGAGAATAAAATATTGACTCAATATCTCCATCTCTGAAATAAAACATGGTTTCTAGTAATAAAAAGTTGGAGTTTGAATTTCATCTTTATATTTATTAAAAAGTCTTTAGGATTTATTTTTATAAATCTCACAAAGACCTTTGAATTAAATTGCAATCTATTCTTATATAGTGTTCTGAAAGCCAAATAAAATAGAGGAAGTAATGAGAGAGAAAAACAGAATAGAAGAGCTTTCCCCAAATTGTAGTTAGTGCTAAAGTTGGGACTAGAAATGATTAAAATTCACTCTGATTTCAAGCCCATCACTCTTTCTGTTAATGGAGTTATATTCTCTTTTCATAAATGAACACATACTAATACATTTCTAGGTTTCTTGTTTTAATATGTAATAGTTCTTCTCAGGAGAGCATCACAGAGCTTTGGGAGCTGACTAGGAGAGAATTCTTGCCTTACCGTTTCCTTCAGGTCCTCCATATCAGCCAGGTATAGAATCTTTAGTGCCCCTAAGGTCATTTCGATTGTGACAGAGTGGCAAACTGCCTCTAAACCTGGATACCTATGTGTGAAAATGGCAGCATTAAAAATAAGGCTGACCTTATATAAATATTTAAACAAGTAAAGAAAAGATAAAGAAGATATGCCTGCCACCTTCTTAGGTTGGCGATAAATACTTTTATTTATTTTGGGGCTAGCAGATGGCATAGTGGTTACTACTTTGGACTCCCATGAAGTTGACTGCACCTTAAATTCCAGATCTTGTGGCTTAAAATTCACGCCAGGTGCTTGTGTGTACATGCCCCAAATCCCAAGAGAATGGGGAAGTAGGGATTGTGGCATGGCCATTGCGGCATGGCCATCCCCTTTGGGGATCACCCAAAGAGTGATTTCTCACTTTCTGTCTCTCTGTCTCTCCAGTAAGCACATAATCTCTCTTAAAAAATAATAATGTTATTTATTTTATATTATTCAAGTGTTACTGCAATCTCTATCTTAGAAAATAAATTGTACAAAGACAAAGCAACTTATAGGGGGTCATTTTGCTAGGACAAAGGATCATATCCTTGGCTCCAGGATCAGTTCTTTCCTTCTATTTATGAACAATAAAAAGCTGTCTATGTGATGTAAATTCAAAGACATTAAGAAGGATACTTCATCTATAAACAATTTTCCTACTCATTTTCTAATGCTTAAAAATTCTTCCAAGAGAAGGTAAACAGAAACTTTATTTCCAGTGAAATCTAATGTCTTGAGGAAAAATGCTAGTGAGAGAAAGAATATCATGATCTATCATCACATTGAGGTATAAGCTGCTGGCAGAGTTTTCCTAAGAATCAGATATTATTTGCTTAGGAAAAATTTTGATTTTTGAAGTTGAGTAGTCAGAAGTTTCACCACAGGGGGAAGAAGACTTAAAGAAGTAAAACACAAAGGTCTCTGAATGTATAAAGGGAAAAAAATAATTTCGAAGAGAACTATAGAGGGGGAAAAAATGTTTATTACAGGCAGAATTTCTGGGTCACACAGCCTCTGTTCTTGACCTAAGACTTACCTTGGGGCATAGTGGTCCAGAGTTTACCTATCCTGAGAGATCATCCACAGAACTGTCTTCATCTTTATGCCTTGCTACAATGAAAGAAGAGAACAAAAGAAAGATGCTTTGTCATCAAAGCTGAAGCAGGAGAATCAACTTGTTAATGTTTGCTCTCTAGATAGAAATTCTGTCTAAATTGTCCTTTCAACAAAACAATCAACCAAACCAAACAAATGCCTTTAATCACTTGTAGTTTCTCTTTTACTCTAGCAATAGCCATAAAGCAAACACCTGAATTAAAGCTCCATGAAGTAGTCCATCCTAAAAAACTATATATTTTACACAAAAGAGAGGTGCAGGACAACCAGACCCAGAAGCAGAGCAAAGAGGTAAGCAAGGTAAATGATTGTGGGGGAATTTTTAGTCATCTGAAGAGACAATGAAGAGCCTTAGCTAATAGAAATGATACAATGCTCAACATCTCACCGTCCATCTTGAAGTCCATTTATACAGCCACCCTTGGCCCAGAAGAGTTTAATGCTTTAACGATTTAATGGTTAAACAGCCTTACTTGATGAAGACGGAGAAAGCATCTTAGAAATTTCTCCAAATGTGTGAAAAAAAAAAAAAAGAACCTAGGAGGCAATCATATGGAGTCTTTGTTCTTTGTCAGCCTCACCAAATCTAGTTTCCCCCAGTTCTCACTCTCTTCTCCCGGAAGAGAATTGCCTTTTACTCAGCCATGTTGTTTGGAGAATTCACCTTTATCTCAGTAGTAAACAAGATTTTTAAAATGTTAAGGCTATTATTAATAATATTTTACTGTTACAGGGTTATAAATATCCCCTCATTTTGTAATTTTTACCTTATATAATTTTTTGTAGGATTTTGAGTGGTTTTCTTTAGTATAGTTGGTTTAGTTTTGAAGTAAGAAAAATACATGTCTTGTTATTCTTCCTTTGGTGATCCATTTTAGTGCACGGGACAATATTCTATACATTAGGCACATTAAGGTCCCTGTATCACATTTGAGAGTTAGTTTAACCTGTATGTATTATTATCGCAATGTAATTGTACTTTTTGAAAATTTATCTTAATGTACAATTTATGTTTTATGTATTTTGAAAGCATAATTCCTTTTATTCTATATGCACTTATAATTATTCTTATATATACTATTTAAGTCATATAACTACTTTGGATAGATTTATAAATATGCATTGTTTAATGTAACTGTACCATTAAATATTTTCAGGAAAGATATGAACCTGAAATTCAGTACCAGATTATACTAAATGGAGAGGAAGTCATTTTTCACCTATATAAAATGAAGTAAGTAGTATTTCTTGAAAGTCTCATCACTAGATCATATTAAGAAAATGTGGGAGAAAAATTCTTTGAGGTTCTAGTCAGAGTGGTTTAAGACAGAAAACATAACATTGAGCTTTAGATGATAATTGTATTAATGTAGTCTAAGAACGTGGATGCTTTCTTAGAAAATAATGTGTATATTATAAAACAAAGAGAACTACACAGATAAGTGACTTTCTTCCTTGACTTTCTGGAAACTTACTGAAAATCTTTTCTGCCTAGATAAATGCAAAGCTTTGATGCAACTATTACTTTCATAAGAACATACATCCAAGGCTGAGTCAGGGTTCACACCCTAACACAGTTTCCAGGGAATGGGGCTCTGCTTATTTCTATAATAGTAACTGATATAAGTAGATACTATAAATAGGGAGTCCCAATGTGCCAACAAAGGGGGCATCTGATACATCAATCACTGTTAATACAGACCACAGCTAGAATCCCTATTAACAGAGGAGAGTTTATCTCACTAAGATACTTGGTCAACATCCTAATTCCCACTGGGACATTAAATAATAGGGCAGACCATCCCCAAGGGGATGCTCATACCTTCCAAGTCCACACTGGGCATGCACAATTACGTTATCAAATTCCTCAGATTCCATACCTAAAGTAGAAGTGCACTGCAAATGGAAGCCCACAAATTCAAACAAAGGAACCAGCTCCAGTGACAGACCTCCCCTACTAAATATTCATGACAAGACCCCACAATAAAAGTAACACCTAACCCCAGGCCCAGTGTAGTTGTCTTCTGGCAGTTGTCCACGTGCATGTTTTTCTGGCATGCATGTGTATTTCTTTTCTATTAAAAATCTTTTCTTTAAAAATTTCTTTTCCTACTTCATTTGTGTTTGTGTTTTTTATGTATTTCTTTTCTATTAAAAATCTTTTCTTTTAAAATTTCTTTTCCTACTTCATTTTTGTTTATGTTTTTTAGTTTGTTTGTTCTTGTTTTTTTGTTTTTTTTAATTTTGTATCTCAGGGAAGGTATCTAGTATTAGAGGTCTTGACACAAATAACTGGGAATTTTATACAATTCAACTCACGTCCTCCATCTGGTAACATAATCTTCTCTCTGAATGCCATTGTCCATGCATATTTGTGACCCTGTACCCTTTTGAGAATTTTTTGGAGGCTTTGTCCTTGGTGTAAAGACTCCCACAACAACCCACTTAAAGACAGAAAATCTGCTGAAGGGATTTCTTTCTCAGGTCTAGTGGGTATAACAGTTTTGATTTGCTTCAGCGCAGAATTCTGATGTTGTAAAAGGATCAGTGGGTCAGAAAGTTAGCTCTTTCTCATTGTAGGCATTGTTACTCCTTCAATGCTGAAGACTAAGTCAAGGAAATCAGCCTCTATTTTCTACCCTGTGAATCATATACCTTTCTGTTCTCTGCAGGCAACTCCTCGCACCAGATTATGCTGAGATACACTACTCACCCAAAGGAGAGGAAATCACCACAAACCTTGAGAGCATGGTAGGATCTGAATCCTTTTTTGGACTCTTTCTGGAATGTGTTACTTACTTTATAAAAGTCATAGATCTGTATGAAAAATCAAAGGACATTCAGAATTAGCTCTAAAATGTTAGGAAATAATGTATAATCCATCAGATGACCAGAAACCACTGCAGAGGCACAAGAAATATGGGTAACCATGAAAATATCTCTCTCCCAAGGGGAAAGAACAGCCCTTAATCATCCATACATAGTACAATGGAACTCGTTGAAATGTCAGATAAAGAATTTAGAATATTCATAGTGACCAAGCTATCAGAGAAGCAAGAGAAGAGAGACAACGAACTCCAGAAAATACAGGGAAAAAAAAAGACAGTGAGTTCCAGGAAGTGAAGAAGTTCTTATATGATCTGAAAGAGGAAATACACACCATAAAAAAGAATCAAACAGAACTATTAAAGATGAAGTCTGTAATACAGGAAATCAAAACCTCCCTTGAAAGTATTAAAGGCAGATTAGATCATGCAGAAGATCAAATCTCAGATGTAGAAGATAGAACTTCTGACCTAGAAAAATTCACCAAAAGAACTGAGAAAATAACCCAAAAAATGAGAATAATATACAAGTAATACTAGTCATCATTAGATACCCTAATGTCCTAATAATTGGTATCTCAAAGGTGAAGAAACTAATCAGGACATTGATAATCTTGTCCATGAAATCCTGGAAGAAAACTTTCCAAACCTAGAGGAGCATTCAAATATCCAGACCCAAGAAATACAAAGGACCCCAAATAGAAGCAATCCAAGAAGATCTTCTCCAAGGCACATCATAGCCAGATTGACCAAAACCATAGAAAAAGACAAGGTACTAATACTGGCAAGAGAAAATCGTCAAGTTACCTACAAAGGATATCCCATCAGGCTAACAGTGAACCTTTTGTCAGGAACAATGCAAGCGAGGAAAGAACGGGAAAATATATTCAAAGTGTTAATTGAAAAACAATTTAAACTGAGAATATCCACATCCAGCAAGATTATATTTCATATGGGAAGAAAAATGCAACATTTTCTCAGATAAATAAAACTTGAAGGAATTTACCAATACCAGGCCAGCTCTCTGAGAAATTCTGAAGGGAGTGCTGTGCCAGGAAAACTAAAGTCAGACAGAAATAAGAGAACAATAAATGACCAAGGAAAAGGCTGACTTAGTGGTAGGGACAAGTTCGGAAATATCAATAATAATGTTTATTGTTAACTTCCAGAATTTAAACAGAAAGATCAGATCATAATGACACTATAAATTCAACAAAAGAGAGATTACATAAAATCTGAACTGATGAAATAGAATTCTATCACTTTTGTCTGAAGATTACTGATTTTCTTCAATTTGCCTTCCAGATTTAAGGATTTTGGTTTTCTTTTGAGTTGTTGATAGGTTCAGCAATTTGTTAAAAAAAACTAATTGAAAAACTTTTTTCCCTTCCTGACCCCTTTGCAATTGGAAAATATTTGTGAGCATTCCTATTTTCTGTCAGAAGGGTTATTTGTATAAATTCAATAATACAAATAGTATCTGTTGCCTTGCATCAGAAATTGAATTCTTAAGACACTTTCTGCGAATAACAGATAAAATTGAGATTATCCTAATTTTTGTTGTAAATAAGTTGATTTATAACTCTTTTTAGTAAAAGGGGGAATGGAGAGAGAGAAAAAAATTTCAGTTTAAAATTACAGTGCACTTGTCACTAGATTCTAGCTTTATCCATATTTTTAGTTTAAGATCTTTTATGAATCAATAAAATGTGGGAAAAAAGTTTAGTATGGAAAGGAGGGAGGAGAAACTGGAAGAAAAAAAAAAAACAAGTAAAAGTATGCTTAATTGACCAAAAAATGAGGAACTATTTGCTGATGATAATGGATATAATAATATCTTTGTCTTGACTGACATACAGGGTATTTGTGCTGGAAAAAGAAACATTGTACACTGAAAAGACATGATTAAATATCAATAAATAAGGGGGAAAAAAAGAAAAAAATCAATGAACAGTGGTGCAGCAGTAATAAAACTGGACTATACAAGCAGGACCTCTTGTTCCCATATTGGGATCTCTCTGAGCATGCCAGGCACATGCTTGTGCCCATGATCCAAGCCGTCTGGGCTGGGGTTGTAGTATGGAGACCCTGTTGAGGGTTACCTGTCCCACTATCTCTTATTATCTCTCTGTCTCTCTCTGTCATGGGAAAAAAAGTGAATATTTTTTTTTTTAAATCAAAAGATTTGAAAGCAAGGTATTCATCTGTGACCAATTGAAGTTCAAGGTCAGCTTCTAATAAGTAGGAGTAGCAAGAGGCTTGCAAGTATCACATTTTTAGAACAAAGCAAGAGGGACCAGCAGTTGGCATAATGGCTATGTCACTGGACTCCCTTAGTCAACCGTGGTTCGAGTCCCGGACCTGGTGGCTTAAACTCATGCTGGGTGCGTGTGCATGTGTGCCCAAGATCTCAAGAGGAGAATGGAGGAGAAGAGATCGTGGTGTGGCCATCCCGCCAGGTGGTGATTTCTCGCTTTCTATCTCTCTGTCCCTCTCTGTCTTTTGGGTGAGTGCATACACCCTATAGCAAAAACCTCTCAAAATAAATAAATAAGTAAATAGAACAAAACAAAAGTCCGTTTGTCCATAGACCATTCCATCCATAGGTTAGTAATATTCTTCCTTATAAGTACATAAAAACTCATGTCACCATTTACAGTTTTCTTTTTTTTTTTTGGAGAGGATTTTGCTACAGGGCGCGTGTGCTCGCCAGACAGAGACAGAGACAGAAAGCAAGAAATCACCCCCCAGGGGGATGGCCATGCTGCAATCCCTTCTCCTCCATTCTCCTCTTGGGATCTCGGGCACGCATGCACACGTGCCCAGTGTGAGTTTAAGCCACCGGGTCCGGGACTCGAACCACGGTTGACTACGTGGGAGTCCAGCAACATAGCCATTACACTAACTGCTGGTCCCTCACCAGTTACAGTTTTCTAAAGATACATGCATTCATCCTGCAATCAGCAATGTAGTACCAACTATTTAATTCATATTTTTATATCTGACTATGCCACCATTCTATAGCTAGAACTAGGACCTATACATCAGACACAGAGAATGTATATGTGTGTATATATACATACAGAGAGAGAGAGAGTACATTGGTGTGCATATGTGTATGTGTGTATACATATGAATATATAATTTCTAAAGCATAATTTATTTTTACCACTCCAGGAACACTGTTACTATGAAGGACACATCCTAAATGAAAAGAATTCTGTAGCCAGCATTAGTACCTGCGATGGGTTGAGGTGAGAACCACTATCAAAAATATTAAACATGAAGCAACATTTTTAACACAGAATTGAGAGTTCCTGGACATGATGTCTTTTTACTATTTTGGTCAGTTTTACTCCATAGCAAAATGTGTTTAAAATGAACAATAAAGAATAAAGTATCACTCTTACAATCATTTCATAATCTGCTCTTCTAAGAGAAGTCAAGCCTGGCACTGTTTAAACAAGACACTACACTCCAGACCAAATTTATGCACTCCACTCCTAAAAAAAATTGCATTTTATTTTCTGAAAGAGTCTACCTTGCTGTTGTCTCAGTTGAAGTTAATTTTTTTCCATGTTTACAGCTTTTTATGTATCTAGACAAATATATCTTCCAGATAACTGAGGCATGAAATAAAAACACATAGTTGTTCTTCCAACATGTTTCATACTTAACTGATGTAAGTTTATTTTATATTATAATATAAAATACCTTCACAGATATGGTTTTTATTATTTCAAGATTTATTGCCATAGCATGTGTGTTCTCACTGGAGAGAGAAACAGAGACAAAGAAAGGGAAAGTGAGAAATCATACCCAAAATGATGGCCATGCCACAATCCCTTCTCTGTTCTCATCTTAGGATTTGGGGCATATATGCACATGCACCCAGAGTGTTTTTCAAGTCTCTTGGTCTGGGATTCAAACTGTGGTCAGCCTTTTGGGAATTTAGCACATTAACCACCATGCCAAATGCTAGCCCCTATAATAATATTTAATGACTATATTCATTTTTTTAATATTCTATCATATGGATTCACCTTCTATTTCTAAATTATCTTACTATAAAGAGTAATTCTTCCAGCTACTGACAGGTTAGTATGGCCAACCTGCTAATGATTCTTTCCTCTCTGAAGTTATTGGTATCTAAACTTACCTATGCTTCATTCTCCACTATATTCTTAGGATCTGTCAAAAAATCATTGTAATAAATAAATTCAGAGGAAATATTTATTGAGTTTCTGGTATAAATTTCAAATTCTCTGGGATTGTTTCACTTCTGTAATTTTTGTTCTGAATTCTCTGGGCCAATAATTGAGGCTTTATTTTAACACTGATAAATACTAAAGATCAGCAAGAGTTGGCTGAAAGGCCTGTGAATGAAAACATGATGTGTGAAATTGGGGTTGAGGGAGAGGTTCAGTATATGCAACTGTCTGTCTGAGATTCCCGAAATACAAGTCTCTGTATCTCACAGAGGATACTTCACCCATCATGGTCAAAGATACCTGATAAAGCCTCTGAAGAGTTCAGACCAGACAGAACATGCTATCCTTCTGTATAACCAAGAGGAACTGGACCCAGCCAATCGCACGTGTGGTGTGAAAAATCTTGGCAGGAAATCAGATCTTATTCGAACATCTAGGTCACTCAAAAACTCAGAGGTAGGTACAGTTTTATGATGTCATCTTGTATTTCAGCTGTCTCAGCCATAATATATGATAAACTGGCGTACTGATTGATAAATGTAAAGCCTGTTATGTATTTACTTATATTTCAATTTAATCTTTGAGGGAAAAAATGTCTTTTTGTAAGCTTTTGAATTTTTTAGGATAAAGATCATTATTCACCTTTTTATTATTCTTCTTTGAAAAGCAGGAAGACTTTCTTCAGGCACCCAAATACATTGATCTCTTTTTGGTGGTGGATAATGCTTTTGTGAGTATGAATATATGTATGTCTTGACCAATTTAGCTAACTGTAAAGTTTACTTTTTATATGAAAACAAGAAATAAATTATCCTAGCTAATGATACACAGCCCATCTGATTGTCTTAGCTATTCTGTTGATACTTCCTTTATTAGCAATAGTTTTTACTCACCCCAACCCCTTTAATATCCATCTGCAATGGAAATATTCAGATATTGGTAATATAATTAATACCAGATAGCTATAGGAAATCAGCCATGAAAATGAAATGAATGGATTATTAAAATATAAATACATGTTAATTTAAATATAAAGTAGACAAAAATATAACTTAAAATTATACAAACATACTAGAGTCACTTTCTATAGAGCAAATATTACTTTATGATAAACTTTTAATACTCTTGAGTAGTTTTAGAAATATTGCAATGACTAATTGGACTTAAAAATGAAACATACTGGAATTTTATAGAGTGCTTAATTTTTCTCTTATCAGAACACTCTAACATTTAAAATAGAATGTGTGGTGACACAGTCAAGGTAGTCACGAAATGCATAGATGTTACTTATATTGAAATGTGTAATTTTTCTTAAAATATGAAGTTCTATACCAATTAGCTTTGTTGCCTTAATTTGCTGTTTTAATTATTCATTATATCTTATATTTTATAGTATAAGCTGTATAAAGAGAACATAACTCTGATAAGAAGCTTTGTATTTGAGGTGATGAACCTACTTAATGTGGTAAGTTATTTGTGTAAACACTGTTTCTACATAGGAGCCCGAGGCTTCCCTATGATTTCACCAATAAGAAGTTAGAAAAGTTGAAGTTAGGAGTTCTCAGAAATTTTGGCAGAACAAGTAGCAATGATCAAGGTAAAATGGTGTATATTGTAGCAAAAGCAACTTCTAGGATTTCTACGTTCAAAATGGAACTGCCTATATTGTATGCTATAATTGTGTATAATTATGTACAATAATCGAATGTGAATAAGAAATAATACACCTTTTTAAATGAACGTCATTACTTCATAACTGTATACATCACTTGTGGCCAGCAAAGTTTTCTAAAGCACTGTGGGAATCTTGATCATTTCATGAAGAAAAACGCTCTCTCCACAGATTTATAAAACCATAGATATCCGAGTCGCCTTGGTAGGCTTGGAAATCTGGTCTGATGGTGATAAGATAAAGGTGGAACCCAATGTAGGCACCACCTTTAACAACTTCCTGAGATGGTATCGTCTTCACCTGGGGAAAAAGAAGATTTATGATCATGCACAACTTCTCAGGTGAGCACATGCTGGCTGAACCAGGTCTAGGTAGGCACAATGGATAGTGATTCCCAAGGTTCCTTGACAGAGATTTCTTTTCAATCATCTCTCCCCAGTCAGTTGTCAGAGTGCCTGATATTACCATTAGTGATCTATGAGACTACTGGAGATGTTGTTATATCAGTAAGATGAGCTCTTGGGTGTGAGATAAACACCTGATATTGTAATACCATGGGTCATTATAATGATATGGAATGGAGTAATAGAAGCTTTTTAGGGGTCTAGTTAATATAAAAGGGCTGGGGCCAGACATAGCAGTGCAGGTGACAATGCCCTGCTGTGTGATACTGGAGGCATATGGGAGGCCCTGGGTTCAGGTTCCTGGTTGATCTGAACATGCAGAGTGTGCTCTTTGGCATATCTATGATCCTGGCTGGTTGGAAGGCTAGGGAAAGGGATCATGGCATTGGTGAGACCTATGGACGGTACATTTTTCTGTCTAGAAACTTAAAAAGCCTAGGGCAGCAAGGGAAATCTGTAACATAATTAATAAAAGCTAATGGTTTCAAGACTCAGATTGTGACTTTGTATCTGTAACTTTCATGCAGCGGAATTGGCTTCATCAATCGACGGGTAGGAATGGCAGCCTCAAATTCCCTGTGTACCCCTGCTTCAGTTTCTGTTATTGAGGTTTGTAAGCTTAACATAAAGCTCCTGGAAGTCTATCAATATATCCTCTAGGAAGAAAAGTATAATGTCTGATACAGACTTGACACAAGGAACATTTGCCATATCAATAAATGAAAGTAGAAATGAAATTACTAGTAGATAGATCACAGCACTGAAGATTATGAAATATAGTATCCACTGGTTTTAGGGAGTAAGAACAGGAATACTGAGAAAGAGAGGGGATTGGGAACAGCAGTTGGCGTAATAGCTATGTTGCTGGATTCCCATATAGTCAACCGCAGTTCAGATCCCTGACCCAGTGGCTTAAACTCATGCCAGGCATGTGTGCGTGTGTGCCCACGATTTCAAGAGGAGAATGGAGGAGAAGGGATTGGGACATGACCACCCCTGCCCCGGGAGGTGATTTCTAGCTTTCTGTCTCTCTGTCTCTGTCTTTCTGGTGAGTGCAGATGCCCTATAGCAAAAACCTTTCCAAGAATTTAAAAAAAAAAAAAAAACGGAAAAGAAAAAAAAGTAAAGGGGTGGATCTGGGGCCCTATGATGCCTGAGCTAACTCTCAATTAGTCATTCCAGTACCTATATCCGGAGAGGTTAGACAAGGAAAAAGGGTACATGTAGGTGTCATGTGACCAAGCACTACTGTGACATAGATATAGCAATAGTTTTTGGAGACCTCTGAGTTCACAGTACGGTACCTAAAAGTATTTCCCATGAAAAATATAATTAATTTAACCATGCATTACTGAGAATTTAGTGTCTATTCGTTCAACCGATATTTATTAAGCATTTAACTAACTCAATAATTGGATTTATAGGACCCAACCATTTTAAATGTTCATGCAACTTTTTGCAATAAGCAATAACAGAGAAAGAAGATTAATGATTCATTATTTTCATCTCTTATGCTATTTTAAAATATTGCCCATTGGCAACAATTGAGAAACAATGACATAAAATTAAAAGTAATAGTTGTTTCTATTTTTGTTCCCCAGGCTATAAGAAAGAACAGTGTGTCTCTTGTAGGGGTGATGTCCCATGAGCTGGGCCATGTCCTTGGTATGCCTGATGTTCCATATGACACCAAGTGTCCTTCTGGCAGTTGTGTGATGAATCAATATCTGAGGTGAGATCTTGCGATCCCAGAGAAAACATTCTAAATCTTTAAGAATTCCGATACAGCCTACATATGTTGGGTGGACATCTTTTTTTAATTATTATCATCATAAACTTCTTTATATTACATTGGGTTACATATAATTTTACAGTGTATTACATTGGGGTGGACATCTTTTAACAAAAGTTCCGTATCCCATTAATTCAACCTCTAGTCTCTTGATGTACAGATTTCATCAGTTATCAGGGCTCATTCACTAAGATTTCTAAATAGGCCAAGTTAGAATTTATAAGTGTGATGACCAGAGTATTTTAATTTAAAATAATTTTAAATTAAAATGCTGTTGCGGTTTCTAAAAATGTGAAGTTAATTAAGAATATAAAAGCATCTTTATCCCCATCACCAATCAACCAATAAATCCATGTTTGCATAGTTAGTATTTACACATTAATGCTAGGCCTTTCGAAAGGACTTGGGATATAAAAACAATTAAAACATTCTTGTTCTTGAGGTGGTGTTGATAGGAAGAGAAATATGTTCATAGACCCTAGAACGTCTGTAATTATTTCCCCCTCACTAGTTTATTATTATCTTCCATCTTTCAGTGCAAGATGAGTAGGTGATAACCAATCATACCTTCGTGAGTGTTTTTATTTAGGACAGTATGAAATCCACATGATCGCTTAAATGATCCCATCTCTACAACTATGTCTAGAAAGAAATTTTCCAATTAGCGTAGTATGCATGCTCCATAGTTTACCATATTTAATATAGTGCAGTCTTAAATGGTTACTAAATTTAGAATTTTCATTGATCCAGGTAACATACCTAAGTCAGTCAAATTTTCATATTCATTAATCATGTTCTGCCTGTCTTCTAATTGCAGTTCAAAATTCCCAAAGGATTTCAGTACAGTCAGCCGCTCTCGTTTTCAAAGATACATTTTGTCTCAAAGACCAAACTGCCTGCTACGAGCTCCTGCCCCTAAAAACATAATAACAAAACCAGTGTGTGGTAACAAACTTTTGGAAGTAGGGGAAGACTGTGATTGTGGCTCTTCGCAGGTAATATACGAAGTTTAAAATGTTATTAAACAGTTACTAGGGTATAAGTATGAGGCAGTTATCTTTTTCTCTTACCATGTACTTTTTGACATTTTTTTCTAAAGATAAACTTGTCATCATAGTGAAATGTAGATTTCTACTTGTGATTTGACCAGTTTTTCTTTTGAAAATATTTCAAAAACAAGGATATGATTATAACATGATTGTATGAGATTAAATATAAAGAAGTAATTCATTAACTACAACTGACTATCTATCTTGGACATGTGAGTCAGAAATTTCTAAATTGCATAATATCACACTTGATTATTTGCTAAGCAGTAATATTTATATATTTAGAAGAAAGTTATTGTCACAGAAAAAGTGAGCCTTTTCTTACCAAGTCGGTATATAAAATGAACAATACATGAAACAGAGGTGAAGGAGGAAAAAAATGCACAAAAACCTGTAAAAACTAGGTTATTAACATGGTATGCCCCAAATAATTACTAAGATTCTGCTTTTTATAAAATCTGACCCTTAAAGGTATCTTATGTTCTCTAAAGAATGGCTCTAAAAAACTGTTTTTCAGCAACTTAGATGAGGCTTATAAAAGAGAATCTGTTTTCTTTATAATTTTCTTTTACTTTAAAGACCAAAAAACTTAAGATTGAAGAGATGGATGTATATATGTTAATCTGAAAATGCTTTGTATGTACCATCTCCGTAATGACTCATATCAAATCTACAAATTATGATGATCTATCGCAGTGTAGAGAAGAGAAGCTCGGAAAGGTTGGGTAAACTAATTCCAAGGATACAGAGCTAGTAAGCGGTGAAGCAGCTTTACCCATTACAGCTCAAACTTCATCCATTACTTCAGATGGCTTTATGTCAGTGGAGAAAACATCAATCTCAGAAAGCTTCATTTCATTCAGAAACTTTACTTGGTTAGATTGCATTAGAAGATTACATTGTATAATTTAATCAGATATAAAATATGTTACCAATATTTTGATAATTATAATAAAATATAAGATTTTTCAATGATTTGATATTTTATAATAAATAAGAAGTTTATTGCTTTTTTTGACAGAGAGATTTTTCTACAGGGTGCATGAACTCTTCAGAGAGACAGAGACAGAAATACAGAAAGGAAAAAATAACCCCCGAGGGGGAGATGGCCACGCCTCAACCCTACTCTTTTAGTCTCCTCTTAGGATTTTGGGCATGCACGCACACACGCCCAGCGTGAGTTTCAAGCCACTGGATCTGGGACTCAACTCGTGGTTGACCATGTGGGAGTCCAACGCCTTAACCGCTACGCCACCTGCTGGTCCCAGTTTATCTCGTTATTACTTGCCCGGATTCTCATTAGTTTCCTATGTGGAAGATGGTTGGCTTTATTCATAACCCTAGGTATTTCTAGTTTTTTCTTTTTTTAAATTCTATTTGTTATTGTTATTTATTTATTTATAATTTGACCAGAGATTGAGCGAGAGAAAGGGTAAGTGATAATGCAAGCTGCCAAGTCTGGGACTTGAACCGTGGTGAGCCACATGGAAAATCGGGACTTGAACCGTGGTGAGCCACATGGAAATTCAGCGCCTTTAACCCCCACGCCACCTGCTGGCCTCTGTACTTCTAGTATGAGAAAGTAAATGGCATCTATTCAGAGTGCATTGACAAAGAGAGAGAAAGACAGAGAGCACTAGAGAGGAAGAAGGAGGAGGGAAAGGAGAGAGCACTGTTTAGATAATATAGAAAATGTAATATTCTTGAATTATATCTGTTTACTCCTGTATTTTTCCATATCTTATACATTTTAAGAATTATTTATTATTATTATTATTTTAATATGCTATAGGGTATGTGCACTAGACATAGAAACAGAGAGAGAGTTTATCTTCTGGGGCTTGAACTATGATTGGCTATGTGGAATTCCAGCACCTTAACCACCACACCACATGCTGGGCCCTCTTGTGATTTTCTTATACAATTATATAAAACTTGAGAGTTCAGGCTTATAAACAACTAAATTTAAATAAATATTTTCCTATCCAAAAAATAATGCTACATATGTACTTTTACACAGTCTTCTTTATTGAATAGTCTAGCTTCCGATAGATCCGATATGCCATTTTATTATTCCTTTGTACATATTTAGGCCTTTCTGCTGATTTTTAGATCAATCATTATATCTGTATGTCTAAATGTTTTTCAAGAGTATCACATTATTTTTTTTTTTGGAGAGATTTTCACTGTAGGGCATGTGCGCTCGCCAGACAGACAGAGAGAGACATAGAGACAGAAAGCGAGAAATCACCCCCCAGGGGGGATGGTCACGCCGCAATCCCTTCTCCTCCATTCTCCTCTCGGGATCTTGGGCACGCACGTACACGCACCCGGCGTGAGTTTTAAGCCACCGGGTCCGGGACACGAACCGCGGTCGACTACGTGGGAGTCCAGTGACATAGCCATTACGCTAACTGCTGGTTCCCAAGAGTATCACATTATTTTGAACAGCAGATGGTGTAGTGGTTACATCACTGGACTCCCACATAGTGAACTATGGTTCAAGTCCTGGACCTGGCAGCTTGAAATTTACTCAGGCTCAAGAACAGAGAACAGACGAGAAGGGATTACAGCGTGGCCATCCCTCCTGGGGATGATTTCTCCCTTTCTGTCTCTCTGTCTCTCTGATGAATGCATGTGCCCTCTAGTAAAAATCTCTCTCAAAAATAAATAAATAAAACACTATTTTAATAAATATAACTTTACAGTACATGTTGGTGAAAAGCCTGTCTTTTCATTAATTTTTGTTATTTTTGTGTTTTTCCCCCCAGAATTTGCATAGTAATTCCTAAAACTTTATGCATCCATATAACCATCCCTTCCACTTATTTTTTTTTTATCAGTTTGGCTAGAAATACAATTGAGATTAGTTGAAATACGCTAGATTCATATTCACTCTGAAGGCTACAGATGTTTTCATAGTATTAAAAGACCAATTGTGTTTAAAGTTTCTCAGGAAAATTATAAATTTCATCATGTAGTTCTTGCTCATCTTAAGAATTTATTCTAAAATATTTTCTACTTTTATTTATGCTGTATTTACAATGTTTTTTCTTACATTTTAGTTTCTAACTTATTACTATTTATTTATTGTTAATTAATTAATTTCTTTAAGGTTTTCACCATAGGGCAAATGTCCTTGCCAGGGGGGAGAGAGACAGAGAGCTACAGAGAGGAAAAGTGTGAAATCACACCCAGGGGGGACGGCCATGCCACAATCCCTTCTCCTCCATACTTGTCTTGAGATCTTGGACATGCACACACAAGTGCCTGATGTGATTTTCAAGTCACTGGGTCTAGGACTAGAACTGTGGTTGGCCATGTGGGAATCTTCTCGCTGCTTTAACCACCATTTCACCTGTTGACCCCATTGCTACTATTTTTGATGTTACTTTATTATCATTTTAAACAGCTACCTTAGTGACTCATCAAATATTAAGAGCTGATCTTCTGTTTCTTCCAGTAGAGAATTATATCACATACATATAATAAAAATATAATTTTTACTATTTTTAGAGAGATTTTTTGCTACAATGCACATGCACTCAACAGAGAGACAGAGAGACAGAGAGACAAAAAGAAAGAAATCCTCTCCCCAGGGGTGATGGTCACCCCACAATCCCTTCTCCTCTATTTTCCTCTCGGGACCTTGGGCATACATGCTAATACACCTGACATGAATTTTAAGTCCTGGGTCCTATATTCAAACTGTGGCCAACTACGTGGAAGTCCAGCAATGTGCCCATCACATCTGCTGGTCCCTGATTTTTACTTTTAAATGATTATATTTTCATGTCTTTTTCATGTTTCATGGTATTTGTTAGAATTTCCTTAAAAATATAGTATGTAAATAATCCTTGCCTTGGGTCGGCAGGTGGCACGGTGGTTAAAGGTGCTGGATTCGCACATGGCTGCCATGGTTGACCACAGTTCAAGTCTCATCCTAGTGGCTTGCTTTCTTGCTTTCCTTTTCTCTCTTTCTCTGGTCAAATTAAAGAAAAAGTAAAAGCAAATAGATTTAAATAAATAAATATTTCTTCTAAAAAAATCCTCACCTTATCTTTTATTTTATAAAATATAGTCCTGTTATTTGCCACATAAAGCCACATAAATTTTTATCATGATTATTTATCACCCCACTCATAGTTTACTTATATATACTTAAGTAACTCAGTAATGATTACTGATTTTTTTTTTTTTTTTTTTTTTTTTTTTTTTTTTTTTTGGGGGGGGGGTTTTTTTTACTGGGG